AAGGAGGGGAGCGTGGTCCCATGGGCGCGTCACGTCGAAATCCGCATTGTCGTCAAAGGGTCAGGTAAAAAAGCTAATGCTATGCTATGAAGATGCCAGATCGCACACATTTTTGGAGACTTAGCAGAACCTTGTCGAAGCCTGGTTGGAAATAAATGCTCCATTGAAAATGTAGTCCTGATCTCGTGACATCCAAATCTCTTCTATATCGATCGTTACAGAAGTCCTCCAAAGGAAAAAACTCCGCTAAAGATGTGATCCAATCTTGGTGAGAAGTGGCCACTTTTCGGCCAAAAAACCGGAAGGTCTGCTTGAGATCAGATACCAAATTACCACAAGGAATGCTAAGGGCATTCGAATAAAACTAGGTATAAAACGTTGATTGATATTCATTCAATAGGAGAAAAAAATGTTCCGTGAAAAGCTCGAAAATCGTAATTACTTCCCGAACGACCTAATAGTTACGACCAGATATGGGCAATCAAACGTACCCCGAACGACGATATTGCTCCGTAGTATCTTCGATGGTAGATTGCTTCACAAAAACGATGGCTTCCTTCACTAAACGATGAGTTGTCGACGAAATTGCCTTATCTATGTCCTTATCCGACTTTTCTGAAACAACAGAGAAGTTTGACTAATACACTATAAACATTTCTGACAAACAATACCGTTGTTTCCACATGCAGCTCTCGAATAACCTCGGCATATTGTATAACAACTCCACCTAAAGGCACAGTCACGATAATTCCCTGTTGCTGGCTCGCGAGGCTTTCCCGCAACTCCATCGATGTCAAGCCAGACGAGTGTCGAGGCGATACAGATTGCAACTATTCGTTCTAGGATCCACACACAATCAGCTGATCGCCGAGTGATGAGGCGATGTTTTTCTACCATTTCTTTTTTTCTCCCACGCAGACGCGAAGAGGGGTGGGAAAGGTTACATTGGCGCAGGGTATTACGAAGTTAGATATCCACTGATCTTGTTTACGGATCCCCTAAAACTCTTAGATGAGCGATTGTGGATATGTGATACACGTCAGCGTGTGTGGCCCAACTGGTACACTGAAACTGGAACAATACAGAGAAGACTAGCCCCAACTTTTAGCCCCACGTGATGTCCAACACCCAGTAAACTCATCTTGCTTGTGATATCGAAGAAAATATCATTTGTTCGAAAAATGGTAAAACTTACTTCCACTGGCTCCTGCTCGTAATAATTCATCCAATTTCGTATCTGATTTAGGTCTTTTCTTTGGAAGCATTCTTTTCTCGGTCTCTGCAAGGAAAACATTAAGCACCGCTGTATAGTATAGAAAATAATTCTGAACAAGACATCATCAGTGTTGTATCACAACCAACCGCCAATCACTGACAAAAGGAAACTGCATGGTCCTTGAGCAAGAAAAATACACCAACCGATTGCACAAATCCATTGCAGAGTGACCCTGTACCTACCTCATCGAAAAGAAAATTATTCCCTAAGAGGAGAGGGATAAGCATCAATTACTTCATGGGCATCATTACCCACGAAATAATCAGAAGACACTTAAACAGTGTGTTGATAGGTATAGGTAAAAATTTTCTCACTACAAACTTGCTGTGCATTTATGAAACCTATGACGATCACCAAAAGACTTCCCATGACAAAAAACCCTTGCTCTGCTTCGGATGAGAAAAATTCTCTTTGAAAGTATATTATAGTATTATTTATTATTATATTATAGTAAATAGTATATTTTTCGAAAGGGCGGAAGTGGTGTAGTGGCGAGTATCGCACTAACACACACGCATGGTCACGGGTTTGAGCACTGAATTGAAATCCATCCAGGCCAACCAAGCCTTCTTTCCCTCCGAGATCGGGTAACTGGTACCATATTCGTATAGGAAAAAAGCAGTGCTCTGACTTGTACGTCGCCGGCTACCACAAGTAATCGCACAGACCACTAAAACATTCAATACGTCGCTACGATTCTGAGGGGAAGTCTAATGCTAAGGCGCATCTCTCAAACGGGATAGGTCAAACTTCAAAACTTTGAAACGAATTCTCACTTAATTATTGATGCAAGATCGCCCCTGAAACCTGCCCGTATCTGATGTTCCATAGAGTAGAGTCGGGACAAGGCTTTCCATGTAGGTTACCTCGACATTGAGTTCACTACGCGCCTGCTATTCGTCGCCCTTACTGAGAAAAAACTCAAGTTAGAGCACTTTCTGAGACATTAGGTCAAGAAAGGGAATCGCAACCCATATACAACTTGTTGATCAAAGCGGAAAGAAAAGCGGGTTTGGTCAACTTAGCCAATCTTTTATTCGAAATGAAAGAATTAAATCTTCTGTTCAGTTCAACGAGGAGCCTGATGAATTCCTGTCAGCAAAATCGTGGCGTGGAGCGTAACGCAGCAGAGCGAAACCATCACCACCTAGGTATAGTCGGATAAAGGTATGGCTATTACTCACTTTGATAATTTTGGATGATTAGCTGATTTTAGAGGAAAGCTTCTCTCATGAGGTTGAACAGCTGTAACTCGCTTTTGTTTCGTGTCGTATTCCCATTACCAGAGGACTTCGAAAAGCGCCTCTTCAACAAGTCATTTACCCGTCTCTCGTCACCTATTCCCACCATGAGGAATTTATTGGCAAGCACCGTACTTTTCAAAAGCGCACGGCGATCCTGGTATATTGTAGAAGTGCATTAAGATCTTGGCATAATGAAAATATAGAATGTATCTATATTTAATATGTCAAACGCAATGTATTTGGCCGTTCCAACTGAAGTCTATTTCTCGAGCAGCCCAGATACACACCTGCACAAAACATTTGATCCGAAGTCGTTCCAAGTATGAACTTTTTTTTTTAATGAATCGGAAAGGTTGAAAAGCTTGCTTAAAGAAGAAAGCATGTCATTTGGAAAAAGCTGGATTCCATATTTTAATGCCATCATCGAACATGAAAGATTCTGTGAACCATATGTTCACCACCCAGCAACTGTCGTACATATATCTTGTTTTGCATGGGTCAGAATATGCTATAGCAGTCGCCTAGTCAAAAATATGTAGTGTGGCAACGAACTGGCTTCAACGAGGCGATTTTCATGGAGGACCCTGACCACACCCGCAGTGTTAAGAACTTTGTCTGTCAATTTCATGTTATGGTGACCGTATAATCTTTCAAGAACATTCCTCTTAAAGTCGTGAGACGGATGTTTCTTCATTACACACCGCTCAAGCGGCCCAGCTTGCGCCGGGCTTCTTTCGTTCCTTCCACAAAATAGTTAGAAAATACACTTGGAGTGAATGGGGAAGTTGTACCGCTCTCATCCGCTGAGGGGTATAGCGCAGAGAAGAGGATAGCCGACCTCAACCGGTAGGACTGGTGCTTAGTGATGGTTCTCGGTCGAAGAGTTTAGTTTGTACCTGAGTTTTAAGAGGAGAGGAGCAGCTGAGCAAGTCAAATGATTACCTCGAGCAAAAAGCTGGGAAAATAAAAATTGAACGTTGAGTCCGCTCTCCACACAGAATGGCAGTAGATCGCCACAACGGGACTCACAGAATAAAATGGGATCGGCAGGTTGGAAAGCTATCCGAGGACCAGCGTCTCTTCCGCGATAGACTGTGATTTTCAGTGCTTGGAGAGAGAGCCGCGAAGTTCAGGAAACGAAACCTCAGTTTTCAACTGGGATCATTCCACTTTGCTGGGGAATTTGTGGAAAAATTCCGTTAGCGACAACAGCGATGAAAAATACAACTGGCCCTCTCGGACAGCTTCAGATAGTGCCAGGGAAGCAGACAGCCTAGGAAGCCGAGAAACGTCTCTCTTTGAAGAATCTCGAGGTGATAGCCAGCATGGAATCGGGCGAGCAGCAGGCAATACATAACAAACATTCGAATTTGCGAAGCTATACAGAGAAGTGATAAAGGAAGATCTGAAATAGAGAAGAGCAGCAGTTGCTGCCGAAGCGCCGAGACTGGTTAAAGCGTTCGTTCGTAGCTTAGTCAATTATAAGACCAAGATGAATTTACTTACTCGTCCTGACGGAACAGTTACTACATCTCGAAGGGTAAAGGGGAAGGTCATCTACGACTTTATCTGATCACTTGGACAGCCACAGTCTACCAACCTACCTAACATCTTAGGCAGAACACACATGTCGCCCCATTCAGTTCTCCCTTGAGAAATACGATATGCCATCACGTCGATGAAGAGTTGTACGGCGCGTGGCCCGGGATTTCCCATAGGATCAACCAAAACATTTGAAGAGCGTTTAGCTAGTCACTGTCAAAACGCTAGCTAGGCTTTTAACGCGGAACTCGTCGGAATGCAGAGTGGCCATTTCGTGGAAAACTAGCAATGCTGTGGTGCCGTATTAAAGAGGAGATTCAGACGACTTGGCACTATTGCCCAATTTGCCTACTGTCTATAATCTATAAACCTTTCACACGAGCCATCCTGAACAGCATTGGCAGAATACTGATGAAGGACAACCATGCGAGCAGAGTTTTGAAGAGGGTTCAGTACAGTCGATGACATTCACACCGTTATAAGGCTCATCGAAGTATCGCGATAGTGTAAAATGCCGTTGTGTGCTACGTTCATCGATTTGAAAAAAACCTTTGATACCGTCGAGAATTAAGAATTAATTGGAGCCATGGGCAACCAGGGTGTTCCTAGTCAGTATATAAGGATGCTTCGGGAGCTCCACAGCAAATTTGCGACCAGGATCTAGCCATTCCCTGAAGAACTCTACATCAACGTGAAGAGAGGGGTTTGGCAGAACGATACCATCCCGTCCAAACTTTTCAGTGCCGCTCTCGAGAACATCATGGGTCAGATGGAACAAAAAGGCGTGGAAGTGAAGGTCGATGGCCTCGCGGTGTGGTTAGCAATTAAGAACATCGTCGGAGTAACGAAGAAGACAAAGAACGTCCGGCTCCGCGCTCACCTTCTCGACACTGCGGTCCTTACTGCTTTGAAAAACGCCTCAGAGACTTGGACTGTTCGAAAGAAGGATGAGCATGCAGTCAGCTTTATTCAACGCGCTGTAGAGGACGATGTTCGGAATTGTGTACACATGTAAGCGCAAAAGGGTACCTGGGTTCCGAACTCCGNNNNCAATGAACTTAGAAATCTAGAAATCGAAGATAAGGGGCCGATCACGCTAGGCGATATGGTGTTGATCATTGGATTAGGGCGGTTACTGACTGGATCTTTCTGGACGTCAAACGCATACCAGGACGGCCGCCGGCGCGATGATCTGACTTCTTCACAAAAACTTTGAACGAAAGGAATGTTTTGCCCCCTGTCCCTGGAAGGAGTACGGTCTACTGGACCACTCTGGCTCGCGATAGGGACTAATGGAGATGTTACTGGCGCCCGCTCGATGAAATCGATGGTCAACGGACAACAGGTGATATAAGTGAGGTAGAAGTCGATCCACTGGAGACAGATGCGACGCACCAAATGCAACCAACGCACACAATTCTCCAATGGACTGTAAGGCCCCGGAAATCGTTCAAGCGCTCATGCACCCGATCGATGCTCAAATTTAAGCGTTTTCGGCACTTATTCTCAACACTCAAATCTATCGGAAATCAATGAAGTAATAGAGGTAACCGATATTGAGATTTGACGCTCAACTTCTCTTCTGACACCTATACTGATGAAGAATTTATTCAAGCTCTGTCCGGGAAAATCGACAACTCAAATTTTCACCCTCCTGAAAATCAACGGAAGTATTCACATATAACCATTCCAGCAACAGTTCAGAGTTGAAAAATGACAAGTTTTACAGCAGACTGGCTTGAAAGCGAACAATTGGTGCACAATATGTAACAGCTGGTATCAGTTAGGATAAAAACCAAAAGGTGCGGGAGAGATTGGCAGACCGTACAGTTTGCTTCCAAGTCTATAGTCTGAGGTACTCGATATAGAATGAAGGATGCGATAACGCTCTCCTGAGGGATGAAATTGTAACCCAAAACACATCTCTATGTCATTTTGGGCCAGCGTTACAAGTTGTTGAAAATGTTCCTTGATTGATGATCAGATCATGTACCGCGGTATTTCTTTCGTACATAAATATTCTACCCTGATACGCGAATGCTGAATGAGTAGCAAGCCACGCCTTCACTACAGTGCCTTGAAAATGGATAATAAATAGAACAACTGCAGCACGTAAAAGGGTGTCTATTTTAGACATTTTAGCTATTTTGAGAGCAACTTTGGATGCAGATACCGTTCATCCTCACGCAGCTACGTGGCCGTATTCAACCCTTTCCCTGCTGACGGTAGATACACTCTTAAATGGCTCTCATGCAGGTGAGGGTTAAGCGCTAAAATTTTCGCTTCGGACTTGCACTCTTTAGAACAAGCCACTCCCTCTATTTTCCACTTTCATTGTTGAGCCATTAACGCAAAATCTGCTACAGCACAAACGTCTCCCGAGAGTCAAACCATATGTCCAACACAATTCACGCGTGCACGGACACGTAGGTGGGTGGCAACTATGAGCAAATGCCGAATAACAAAGGAGAGCAGTAAAAAACGTCTTGGGAGCTACTTCAATTCGGCCCACATGGAAAACTCCCGAACGCTTGCCACTTATAGTTAATCTAATTATATCACGTTAAAATGAAACAATTCAAAGAATACTTGATCAAGAACGAAATGAAATCATTATCTTCAAAACAATACAGTTACCTATTGCTATCAGAAATGGTTTTACAGAGGTAAAGAGAATAAAGAGTGAGAGAGAAGAGAGTGACATTTTGTAGTGGAAACTGCTAGTTATGAAATAGCTTCAGCAACTTGCTACCCGTTTTGACCTTGCTCAAACTCGGCGTCTTGTGTAATGGTACCGGCTTCGCAGTTTTAGACCGCACTTGACCTGACCGATTGTTCGTCCGAAGTGTTGAAACAGCCGACTTCCCTGAAAAAGATTTACGCATGAGAATTTCGTTCGCTTTTGTGCCTATTCGCTTTTGTGCCTATCTCTATACCTCCAATAACGACAAGAATGTAAGAAAGCTCACTGGGAGTAACAATCTCGGAGTCCGATGAGCAAAGCCGAGGAGACGGACTTCTCGTCCCAGTTAGGATATTCTGCAACTGACTCAGCTTTCTTTTCGTTTTTTAAACGTACTCACACCAAGTGCGCCTTAACCCGGTTGCTGTTGGTTAGTGCCAAATGTTTTCGCGTGATTTATAATAAAGGTAATTTACCAAAGTCCTCTTCCAATTTTCACGGGCTGCTTTATTATGAATATAGTACAGTGGATAAGAAATGAACGCGCACTATGATCACTGACATACACGCGCTGAATGTCAAATAGTGCTGAAGATGGCAAACAGGGATCACATATAAGGATTCTTATGAATACTGGATATGACACACCTGAAATGTAGTATGAAGTAATTGGGATAGAGGGCGTGGATCTCCTGCCGCTGTTGATTCCGCAAAGTGTATTTTATACTTGTTGGCCATTGCCTCACCTTCTGCTTCAGACACTTGCCTAAAAGTTCATCTCGCAAACATTGGCACTGAAATACGTTTGCTGAAATTTTTGCTTCAAGACCTATCTAATGATTCTGAATATGAAATTACCCTAGTTTTCTTCACGGGAAGGGCAGGTACAGGCGTTTTAGTGCAGGATGGGTACTAGCCATAACAACAAAAACGGCGAAGAACCCTTTCTTTACCAGTGCCACCGATCCAATTCTAATGGGACTCGTTTAGGAATATAAATGCCTGACCCTTTCGATCCACGTGCAAAAAAGTCCATGAACTCGTAGCTCGTAGACCATGTTACTAGGTAAGAATTACCTAGTAACATGGTCTGAAAAGGTAAACAGTTGAAAGCAATAGTTCGATCCTACCGCTGAAAGCGATCTTTTGTTCAATGTAGATTCCGTGATATCACTAGCGTTTGGCATTTCAATTGAATTTTGAAGTGTTTGATCCATCTGCTCCATTACTTCTCTAGGGTATGCGTACTGCAGTACTTGGCACGCGCGGTTCTGCTCAGTAAATAATGATGCGTTTTTTTCTGATCTTTACATCAATATTTTATTTTTGCTGACAAGTGTGCACCTTAAATAAATGGGAAGTAAACCAATTCAAGTTGAGCAGTAAGTTTTTAGACGGTACCTATAGCGCTCCAAGTCGCTCTTGTTTCCCAAAAGAATTGTTTTATGTTCTCTGGCACACAGAAGATGCTCGTGCTTGGTGATTCGCTCTAGAATATTTTCGGCATACCTAAAAAGTCATGAACTCAGCCTGGCGGAAGGAAAAAGCGAGTTGGTCTGACAAGGAAGGTCTTTCAGGGCGTGGGTCGCTTTTTGAAAATGGTTTTTTGCATGGTGTAGGGGCATGAGC